AGAGAGCCCCGCGCTGGTACGCACGTGATATATAAACAATCAATGTGTCGTCGCGAACAACGTCCCCCCCCCTGCGCGCACTCAGCGGGCCACGGTAAAATTATCAAAGGCTGACTGGTCAGCGGCAATAAAAAGGTTGGGGACCACGGGTCACCCACATGACTGACTCAATTTTACAACATTTTATGCCATGGTCATAAAGTTAATGCTATGGTTATAAAATTAAATCCACAATAGTTAAATAAGCCCATTGTTTGCTAGATCCAGCATAACTTCACTAAGAAATCTGTACTCAGAATGCCCTCTGCAGTCTAAATTGCATTTTGTTCCATAGTGGTTTTTTGTTTAAAATGAAGATATTTCAATCTCCTCTCTGCGTTTTAATTCACTGACCTCCCTCGAAATCTAAACAGGGTGTACTCATTAAACAAATTTGCAAAACACCCCAAAATGGAGACAGATGAGGTGAAAAATATACCACTTCCTATTTCCAGCTAAGCTTCAGCAGATCCTTTTCTGTGTTAATTAACACTCTGCGTATGTGTTATAAAAGGCGACAAACTAACAATTATAAAGCCTCACCTTGGCTTGAACTGCATAAGACGCCAATAAAATTGTAGCCTCGGGAGAACAGTAGATTTCTTCATCCAATATTTGTTTCTTAACCTAAGACACAAGGTGGAAAAAAAAAGAGAAGAAAAATCTAAGGCCCAGCCAAAGCTTGAAAACAAAATAATAGACACCCAGACTTTGTTTTGGCACCTGAAATGTAACCGTTAGCTGAGTTTTTGAGTGAAAAAAATAATAAAAGAAATGTTGGCCGCTGTAGAGACATGCACAAAAATACCAAGAATACTCAAAGTAGTTACATATGCTTTTAAAGCATGCTGCATAATAACTACATTCTAAACTGTATCTAATTTCTATTTGGAAGATCAGATCAGTAAGGGATTATTTAGTCCACTCTTCTATTTTGTTAGTGGTCAGCCAGATACTGAGAAAATCCACAATCAAAATAGAAAAGTTATAATTCTCCACTATGATTTGTTTTCCACCATAGAAATGTAGAGTATCGGAATTAATAAGGGGAAAAATCTAGCAAATCAGATTCATCTAAACCAGCATTCTATTTTCCAGAGCAGCTAAAGGCTTCTTCAAAACCCAACAAGAAGGCTTGAAAACAATTCCTGTGCTTGCTTCTGTTTTTTATCTTTCTGAGAAACACTGTGTTTGCACGTAGGGGCTAATTCAAATACTGTTCAGGTCACTGTTGTTTGGAGAAGCTTACACATTCTATTCAGTCCCCTAAATATGGCCTGGTAAACTCCAGAAAACAATGCTGCATTTATCTTGTGCTTTTCTTGTGTGTGTCCTGAATGAACCATCAAGCAAAGTTTCTTTTTGTTATTTGGAATGCTAGCAATTTGAGGGAAAAGAGAGGGGGGAGTTCCCATTATACCTTTTGTGCCACTGACAATTTTATTTCAAGCTTGTAGAAATTGTGCCCCTTCAGTATTACTCTCCTCTGGTAACTGTAATCAAATAACATGGTCAGATGGCTAGAGTTCCCAATTCTGTTTAATGTATTCACTCGCCCTATCTTATCTCCCTTTTATGACTCCTGTCTTTTTAATAAAATTTGCGTTTTTTTTCTCTTTGTTCCTTGTTCATTCATCATGTGTAGCTGTTTGTTTTAATTGGGAGGTTTAATATAACATAAGGGCCACAGTGGCTCAGTGGCTAAGACGCTGAGCTTGTCGATCAGAAAGGTCGGCAGTTCAAATTCCTAGCGCCATGTAATGGAGTGAGCTCCCATTACTTGTCCCAGCTTCTGCCAACCTAGCAGTTCGAAACCATGTAAAATACAAGAGAAAAATAGGAACCACCTTTGGTGGGAAGGTAACAGCATTCCGTGAGCCTTCGGCGTTAAGTCATGCCGGCCACATGACCACAGAGACGTCTTCAGACAGCACTGGCTCTTCGGCTTTGAAACAGAGATGAGCACCGCCCCCTAGAGTTGGGAATGACTAACACACTTGTGCGAGGGGAATCTTTATCTTAATATAACATATGGGAGAAAACACCCTTGTTTTCTTCCAAACATAGAAGGCTATAGAGCCACAGAACCTCTGCCTAGAAAGATAAGTTGATTTCTAAATTGTCTTTATTTTAGAAGGCAATCAAATAGGGCATTTACAGAATAACTGTGCCAGGATCAAACTGAGTTGTGATTGGGTGTTCTACTGCTTTTCTTTTGCTTTTTTAAATGATTCCTGTATAGATTTCTGAATTTAATGTTTTAAGGATTCTTACTTTTATTTAGATTTTTTTCTACTTATTTCTTTATAGCCCCTCTGGGTTTTTTTTCAGTATAGAGATAATAATTATTAGTGCAATTAAAATAATTAAAACTCAGATCTCATCCTAAAGTCTGAAAAGGGGACAACCTAAAGAAGTCAATTTTAAAAATCAAATTCATTTAGGTATGGCAACAGTTACTGGAGTAGCTGATCTCTACTACTAAACACTGTGACTTTCTCATTCCTCCTGCAATGAAGGGAACTGCCTTGTACATAATGACTTTGCATTCTTAAACCAAGCAAATGGTTCAATACATTTTAACAGGTTGGATTTCTTAAGTATACAAATGCTTGCATAGGTTATTCTCTCACTCTTACCCCAATTATACTGCAAATCTAAATTTTAACGTTAGGAAACCCAGCAAGTTCAAACGTGTTGCTTTGCCTCCACTTATGTTTCTTTTGGAACTGCAAAAAAATTCCCCAAACTACATTCCTCCAAGGGGAACAAGCCAAGGCAGGTTTGAAGGAACTGCAAGAAAATGAGTAGCTTTCAGGGAGATGAAAAGAAAAGGAAGGGAAAAGAGAAACAGACTTCTTTCCAACTAGCTCAGCCCACAATTGACAATTATAATTGTCAAGGCAATGGTTAAAAGCAGAAAAGCCAGGAAATTGATTCTATCTAGTGGATCAAATCTTCCAAAGTAAAGTTGGTTCCAAGGTAATAACCGAAGCATGTGTTCAGGGTTTTAGCTGTTTACATTAAACTAGTTTCTGAAATCCAGCACCCCACTCCGGTTGATAATGATCAAATGCAGTAATAGGGGTAGGACTCCTGTTTTTTGGCATCCTAAGTCAAGGGTGTCAAACTCAAGGCCTGTGGGCCGCATCTGGCCCACAGGTTGCTAAGATCTGATGTGGGGGGCCTCCCTGGAAACAGCGAAGGTCCAGCCTCTGGTGCCTCTGCCAGCAAAAACAGAGCTCGGGAGGGGTTGCAGGAGGCCATCCCGGCCGAAAACAGGGCCCCAGAGCCCATTTTCACTGACAGAGCGCTTGGGCCACCACAGGCACTCCCAACATGAATGATGTCATGCTGGCCATGACCCTCCACCCCCTGAAGTCAAACACAACCCTGATGTGGCCCTCATTGAAGCGAGTTTGATACCCCTGCCCTAAAAAATTCCTTTTCCTGCAGAACAGACAGCACACCAAAATATTTGCTTTTCAATGCCAGATGAAATCCTGTCTTTTTACCAAAGCACAGATTAAATATGCCATTTTATCCCTTTAAAAGTCTGTTTGTTTTCATTATTGCATTGTGGTTATTTTTGTTTTAAATTTTCAAGGTATCACTCATTTTTACTTCACTTTGCTTGTTTTATGGATTAAGGCTTTTCCCGAGAACCTTATATGAGCTATAAATACTTTAATCAATGAATAAATGTTTTCTAGATCCACTCCCCCACCCCCCCCCTTCACCAACTTCCTGGAGCCTCCAGGTCATCTTGCCCACCCACACTGCACACAGCCTTCTCCTTACACCTGCATGACATTTTCACACTTCCTCAGGCTGGCAAATAAAGGTAAGAGATGCAACTTTTACAAAAGACCAGGAGTCCCTCTCCCCAGCTTTTGGCAAACAGTGTCCTTACAATTTGAAATTACATCAAAGTACTCATAAGTGGGGAATAATGCAAAGCTTCTTGAACATGTCTTTAAGAACGGTTGTTACCTGCATAATATGATTTCACTAAATCTGAAGTTTTCCATATTGGTTGCTGCAGAGTTAGGCAATTGCTTAAAAGGCGAGAGGTGTTAAAAAAATTTAAGGTTGGGGGTGAGAGCTGAATGCCAGAATCTCTTTCATCAGAAGCATATACCTTTATCTCACATAAGTGGCGTTTCTCAACCTTAGCAACTTTACAATGTGTGAACTTCCACTTCTAGAATCCTCCAGCCCATTTCTTGATCATAAATCATTACATATTGACTCCCTTAGGACTGTAGGATATTTTTTGATACCTCCATCTACTTCCCAATAATTGTTTGGAGGACTAGCAGAGTTGGACACAACTGGACAGGGGAAACCTTTACCTTTACAATAATGTTTTCTGATTTCCTACAAATCAAGGAACACCACACTTCATAAACTATAAATATACTTTAATAAATATATAAAGTAAATATACTTTATAACAGTGCTTCCTAAAGCTAGGTAAATTACCCCAAATTGGATAAAAGTGGCTTTTCTTTTGGTAATGATACAAAAACCAATAAAGAAAGACATTTAAATTAACTGAAATATGCCACATGTACTAAAAATGCATTTGAAAATCTCCCAAAGTATTCCCATTAAGACAAAATTGATAAAACTACATGGCAATTTTTGGAATAACTTAAAAGATAATTTCTGTCAAAGTTACTACAATGCTAAAGGGAGGGATTTATAACTAGTCCTTGCAGTTTAATAAGACTTTCTGACAAATGGTTTTGAATAATGAAGGAAAAGGTTTGGGAAGCAGTGCTTTGTAAGATAAAATAGAATAAGAATAAGGATCCAAAGTGTAGCCTCTAACACAAAGGGCTTCCCACAGAACCTCTGCATGAATTCTGGATTTGTTTCATTTGGGTCATCCTCCAATTTCTGCACTGGTGTAACAGGACATGTAACCCTTCCCAATATAGCAAATATAGCAATTAGCTCTATTTCGTTAAATACAGCAAAATTAGCTGCCCACACGCAGAAGGTATCTGAGTGGGTTCCAGTTCCTCTTTCCATTAGTTGATTATACAGATGCAGTTTTGAATCCTGAATTGGAAGATCTATGAGCAACAATTAATTCAAGGAAGAGGGCTCGCAGTTTATGCAAGTCTCTAAGAAATAGAAAACAAGACTGATATCAGAAGTCAGTGCTGTCGAAATCAGACATGATGTATAATCCAACGAAGGGATTAGTGTCATTTCCCAAGGTTTCTTGCTTCCACACTCACTAAATTTCTATGCAAGGATGAAGCAAGGGAATAGCACCAATCGTTCTCTTTTGGTGTTCTTTCTCTTGGTGGATTGAGCCCAGAAAGAAATGGCAAATAAATGATCAGCAACAAATCGGCTAACAAGCCCAAAACCAAAAGAGGACCCACTGAAGACCCCTTTGCTTTCAACTAATCCTAAAACCCTAAAGTTGGCACAAACCTAAGGAGTGCCCCAAGGAAGAGGATGATCATAGATGGTTAAACATGATGATGATGATGATGATGATGTTCAAAAGACAAGCATGACATCTCAAAGCCAATTCTGAATAAAAGAAATACCTTCTGACCTGCAGAAAGAAGAGGTGTTGGGTGATCTCCTGCAGAAGCTCCTCTTCAACCTTCTCAGGGTAAAACTTCACTAAAAAACAAAAGTTCACTGGATCTTCTTTGGGAATATCCTGATCTAAAACCTGTTTGGAAAAAAGAAACCAGGACAACTAAACACCTCCGATTAGGAAAAGCATGTTTGGCAAAGCAGAAGCCCAAAGCCACTCTTTCTTGCCATGAATTCACAATGTCACCCTAGGACTTTTTTTTGCACCTCACTCATTGCTAGTTCACATGTGCTTGTAGCAACTTCTTAGCATCAATGGCCAGGTAAAGAAATTACTGTAATTTAAAACTGCATTTCAACTTTCACATATTTAGATGCATTTAGATGGATGCATTTTATGTTCTGATCTTCATCCTTTAGTGTGTGTGTGGGGGGGAGAAATAACCAAATTGAGCAAGGCTTTCTCCTGCATTTTCCATTCCCAAACCATTTCAGATTTACAAATGTAAATTTCTTAGTCTTTCCCATTGTTTCCAATCTCCCTTTGCATATGAACTGATACATTTCACACATATATCTCCACTCCCTTCCCCCCTCCCCCTTTTTTTAGTCCTGGGAGATAGTAAGAGGAGAAAGATCTTATCAATGGTGCTAATGGCCCTATAGTACTTCTTTTCTCCAGTTTCTGTGAAAGTTAAAGGACCAAAAATGTAAGATAAATGATGAGTCACTGGTAGAGAAGCATTCATATTCCAGTCTAGAGGCAAAGAGGACTTCAATTAGGGGGTAGAAGGAATGTAGTTTGAAAATGCACATGAATATGAATGTGCACATGTGTTTTTCAGCCCAACCACCATTTACACTTAAAAATTATCATTGTAAATTAAGGATGGGCATAGATGGTATCTCTCTGCTTTCAGGTCTTTTGTCTTTCATTTCTTCTGACCTCACTAAACACACACCCAATTTCACCATTACAATTGTGATGGTGCATTTTACTCTTTTTTACATCAAAGGTAAGCTGATTTATTCACTTAAATACTCTCAAAAGAGCCAATTATTTTGCCTGGCCTGGCTCCTGAAGGCCCTCTGTCCCTCCTTCAAAACAAACTGAGATCCCTGAGCCAAAAATAAAATTAAAAAAAATGCTGACCATCTCGGAAGAAAACTTTTAGAATATCTTTAGGTCTTTCTCAATGTGTATTGTTTTGTAATGAAAGTTTAGATTCCAAACCTTTTTATCCATCTTCAACCAAATGCCCATTCCTTTGACAGAATACCAGAGGCCAAAGTACCAGGATTCTCTCAGCCCCAATGCACGACACACCTGGTCAAACAGGTCTTTTCCTTTCCACTTCATCTGTGGATTGCAATAGTACAAAATCAATTTTGAATGGATAGATAATCAGGACATCTGAGTGTGAAAAAATATCTCTATTCACTCTGTGTAAAAATAGGAATGCCAGAGCCTCTGATGGTAAGTACAAAATTTGTTTTTTGTGTGTTCTTCAAGTACATCTCCCCTAGTCCTTCTTTTCATTAAACTAGACATACCCAGTTCCTGCAACCGTTCATGTTTTAATCTCCAGTCCCCTAATCATCTTTGTTGCTCTTCTCTGCACTCTTTCTAGAGTCTCCACATATTTTCTACATCGTGCCGACCAAAACTGAAGGCAGTATTCCATGTGTGGCCTTACCAAGGCATTATAAAGTGATATTAACACTTTACGTGATCTTGATTCTATCCCATATAAAGGTCTATATAAATATATTTATGAATTGTTCTCCCATAAAAGCCCCACATTCAACTCAGTGGGCTGACGAAGGAAGAATCTTCAAATTCTAATTCTTAGTATAGTCTTTCATTGTACAAAATAAAAACAATGAAATTGTTAATTTAGCACACGTGAGATGTGATAATGCCAAGATAGCTTCAAAAGCAAGCCTCAACAACACCAGTTCTACTACCTCCCCCTATTCCTTTAGAGATCTAAATTCTGGGCAACTTCAATCAACCAATGTTCTCCCAAATTTCTTTACTGAATTAAACTAGAAGCACTTGGTTTCTACAGCTAGAAACCATGTACATTTAGGGTGCCTAATTATTGTGATTTGTCACTGATCTAGCAGATCATCCAGTTGGAAGAAAAGACAGCCATGCCTCTTCTGAGATTGATAGCCCAGCAGAAATTATCTGCCATAAGCAGAGACTGAAAGAGATGTGGCAAAGTTCTAACAGGCACTCAGAGATAGAACAGATATTCTTAAATAAATACTACAGATCAGTGAATGGCACATGAACCAGGTAAGAGGCAAACAGCCTGAAAATCACTGCAATTACAGCAGTTGAATCTGGTGATAAGGGTTGCTTTTTAAATTCACATCACAAAAATCCCTGCAATTGAACAATTAGCATGTCAAAAAAAGGCATTCAGTGTAATCTTTTCCTTGATATGTCAGCTTTTTACATTCAGAGAGTGAGAGAAGCAGATATATAAATCTTATAACTGGATAAAAATTCTGGCCCTTAGAAATCAACACAACAACAAAATACCTCACAACTGAATTCCATTTCAGCTTCCATTGTTGAAACTTTAACTTTAAACATTTTAGGCTGCTTCTTCTTTAGTCCCGTGATAGACATGTTTTAAGCCTCCCTGGAGCAGCACAATGGAGGAAATGGTCTGAAAAAAGAAGAGATAATTAGCAACATATTCCAAAGTAAATATACTTAGAAACAATCTTTTTTTTTACTTATAATAACAGGTTCAAATATAATGCGGATGAATCTGGAAGTTTAATTTAGCTTCTGATAGATTCATGGCTCACCATCACTCAATCACTCTTATCTCAAAAAGTCCTATCAGCAAGTTTCTGGTTTATCTCTAACAGTCCTATCAAAGAACCTTCTCTTCCCTTTGGAGGCCAGACAGATGTTTTTAGGAAACCCTCAAATCGTTCTCCTCAGTAAGTAATATTTAGCAGCATATTTCTGTGTACTATCATGGCAAACAACCATTCATTAATTTGATCCATTCTCTTGAAAGTCATCTAAAGTGGTGGTTATCCCAATGTTATAGCAAGAGTTATCATAACTAGTAATAAAATTATTGTGAGACGGGTGGCTATACACATTTGACTAATAATTAAAAGGCAGCAAAACTTTAACTATTGGTGCCTTAGGCACCAAAAATACAGCATAAACTTTTAGGCCAAGATAACACAGGAGAAACAAGTCCAGACATTCATCAGAAATAAACTCCACCTTTTAGCCTAAGAACAAGTTTATTTTCATTTCAAGTGAAGGCTGTAGGCAAAAATATCCCAAATGACATTTGGAAGATCTCTCTGGAAGCAGATAAAAATACGTCATGGAAAGGATCCAAATCCAAAGGCCGTGTTAATTGGATAGTGTCAATAAATGTATTGAATATTTGTGGGGCTAAAAATAGGCTGGATTTACTAGTGATGGCAAATAGTTTGTGAAAACCAGGAAGATAAAAGTAACTGTCCTATGAAGTCAGCTGAATGCCTATACAACTTGATTGAACAACTTACATTAAATCCTATGATTCCTTCTTCCTGCCTGTAATTCTGTGCCCAAAACTTTCCCAGAGCTTTGGGGAATCATGCAGATGTTGGTGATTTAATATCCCATCTTTTCTGGTTTATGCAACAGACATAGAGTGAATCGAAAAAACTATCCGAATTTTGGAGATGGGACAGCATGTTTTTAAGGGGCGTGGAGAGAACAGCAAGCAAAAAGAATTCAGAGGCAGTGGATAGACTGACAACTGAGAAGTAATACCACTACAGTATAGTAATTTGTTCACATGATGGTCTCAGCTTCTGTTGGATTTCTGCATTTTTAAAGACTAAGTGTAACCCGGGAAACCTTCTTTAGTTACTGCAAATGTTTTTAAATCCATTCACTTAATCAACTCATTACAACCCAATTGAAATGTTTCATGGGTGGTAAATAACGCTTTTGCATTCCATTGGTCTACTGAACATTGCCCTTACAGACTGCCCACAATATGAATAAAAATGAATAAAACAAACCTAAAATCAATATAAATACGCCAAACAGCCCATTAAAAAACATGTAAACAGAATTCAACTCCAAAAGACTGCAGAAAGCCTTAGAAAAGCTGTTGGCATATGAAACATAATAATATTAACACCTGCAGAATACAATACATTGGGGCAAATATTTCAGAATCTGGGTTCCAGCAGCAAGAATGACTTGTGGTAGCCAGTCTCTCAAATCAGGCATGACCAGTTCAAACCATTTTGCTGTCCCAAATAGATAATAGAAACAGTACAAAATCCAACTGGACCAGAGGTAGAATATCATTATATAATGCCAACATTAGCAATAAGATGGCATTTTTGACTTAGTCAACAATGGGGTGAAGGGCACTGCCACCTCGCCTACCTCCCCATTTCTACCTGAAGTTCACAACTCATAAAAATAGGTTTATGTAAAGAAGGTCTCCAAGGGCCAAGCAAAGGTAGATCTTGAGACCCCTAAGTCTTGACCTAGGAGTAAATCCTACTTCCGCGCCTCCCTCTTAAAATAGTTCAGAAGCATGTTCCCCGTTTTGAAAACGAGACTATAGGCAAACTCTGCTGTATGAATTCATGCTAGGACTGGAAGTGACTCAAGAACTTTGGGGTTTAGGGTTCCCACAATTTGAGGGGAGGTCAGATCTTGCATTATACGGTGAAATACCTTGGACAACCAGCCCACGCAGAAGAAAACTCGGTATTCTTTTGCACAGAGCGTGGAAGAAGAAAGGATGCTGGCTCTTTGGGGGGGGGGTGTTACTCTGCCTGAGTGATCACGCGAAATGACAGATCACCCCAAAGCTTCCCTGGAGAAATGTGGGGCGGATCGGGCAGGAGCGAGAGAGCAGAAGTCCCCGCGTGAACAGTAAAGGCGCCAATATGAACCGCGGTCCATGTCAAGAGACCGACAGGGAAACAGAATGAGAGGGCAGAAAGAAATTCCCAGCATGATTTTGCAGACACAGAATATATGTGTCTGTGTGTGTCTGTGTGTGTCTTTCTCGCACAGCTGTATCTGTCACTGTTTTCCATTCCTGGATCTGAGATTACAAATTAAAACACATTAAAAAAAAAAAAACAGAAACCTCTTGCTAAAGCTAGCGTTGTCTCCCGCTTCACAAACACGGTGCTAGTTTTATAATGCTGTTGCTAGAAATCTCTCCCCCCCACCCCCTCCCCATAAAACTGCAGAGAAAGACAGACCTGGTCCAATTGCTTACTTACCGCTCGGTGTGCTTTGCACGCTTAAACTCCACGCCTGAAGTCGAATTGGCGTCTTTAATCCCTTCCCCCGTTTCCAGAGGATCTAAAAACAATTGTCCCCGAAGTTGCAATTGGTAGCCCACACGTGCATCGTCAATGGGGAGAAATAAGATACAAGGACTGATGTGTCAGCGGCTCCCCTTCCTTTGTTTGCTCTAAACTGGAGCATGTCAGCTGGACTGCCTTCGGAGAAATCAAAGAATTTACTTTCCCAGGTGATGGGGGGGGGAACCATTTCCTGCCTGGGTGCTCTTCAGACTCCGCCCACTTTACCATCACTATGAGTTCTTAAATACTGTTTACCACAAGGGGAAAAACTCCAAGGTCTTCTAACATCATTATAATCCTTTCCTTCTAGGTTCAGCGGAATTAATCATTAACCATAGACAGAGCATCAATATTTGTAATGGCTAAAGTGTGATGAACATGACTAATTGTGTCTTCTTTCTTTATTTCTCCATCTCTCTCCATGTCAGGGACACAGAAGATAACTTGCACCGAATCATCATTTATATGCTTCTTGTTCCATGCACTATTTATATCCTGCTTTTCAGTTGTACAGCTTCACATAAGGGCTTGCAAATAACAAAAGTACCAAATATACATGTGTGTGCGCGCTTGCGTGTGTGTGCCTGCATACAAATATGTATGCATGTGAGGGGGTATAGATTTAGCAGATAAACAGCTGACAGAGACCCCAGTGCTACACCAGTTAAACATCCATTCCTGCCTCAGCTCCTGCTCATCTAGCAGTTTGAAAGCATGCAAATGCGAGTAGATTAATAGGTACCACTTCAGTGGGTACGTAACAGCATTCCATGCACCATTGGTATATAGCCATGCTGGCCACATGACCATGGAAAATGTGTTTGGACAATGCTGGCTCCGTCAGCCAAGAAATGAGCACCATGCCTTAGAGTTGGACAGAACTAGACAGGGAAATCTTTATATATATAGTCAACTACCTTTTATATTTTAAGTATATAAAACAACTCCCTTTGAGGGAGACGGCAGTTAAGAAAAACAAAATATAAATAAAATAAAACTGTAAAATGTAGAAAAGGGGAATTTCAGAAACCAAATGCTACCCCTACGAAAGCTCTTTCTAGATCTATGTTTTAGATATTTATATATGCACCATAGTACAACTGCTAGTCTTTAAGTACTTTCAGTTTTTTGTTTCTTTCAAAAAAAAAAACTAGTTTGGTTTTTATATACAGGCATCCTTGACTTAGGATAATTGAGCCAAAAATTTCTGTTGCTAAGCAAGACAGTTATTAAGGGAGTTTTGCCCCATTTTATAACCTTTCTTGCCAGAGTTGTTAAGCCAATCACTGCAATTGTTAACTTTGTAACATAGTTAAGTATACCTGGTTTCCCCATTGATTTTACTGGATCAGAAGGTTGCAAAAGATGGTCACTTAACCCTGGGACATTACTATCCTCATAAATACATGCCAATTGCCAAGCATCCAAATTTTGATCATGTGATCATGGCAACACTGCAACAGACTGTGTAACAGTTTCTTTCCACAAGCCATCAGACTCCTCAACACTCTTTAAGTTCTTAGATTTAGAGCTATGTGTAGTTCTGTGTTCTGCTCTTTTTCTTTTTATCTATGTTGTCTGATGTAGCACCTTGGTCCTGGGGAAACGTTTCATCTCACTGTGTACTGTACTGTATATTGTTGAAATGACAATAAAACCTACTTGACTTGACGATAATCAGTTTGAAAAATGGTCATGTCACTTTTTCAGTGCCATTATAATTTTGAACGATCACTAAACAAATGGTTGTAAGTCATGAACTGTACACGCACACACATGCTAAAAGGAAAAAAAGGGAAGGGTCGGAATTTTAATAAAGGCTGTGTTTGCAGATCTGTTGTTAACTGATCTGCAAACATGGTTTGTTGAACAGAATCAACCATCTTCGTGCTACCCACTAATAGGCTGGATGTCCATATTTAATGCTAATATTTTGTATCAATGCAACTGTTGAAAGAAATGTCATTTTGGGTTCAGCTCCAAGTGGGGAAGAAGACACTGGAGACATGGAGGCTGCTTGGAAAGATGGTTTATTGTTGGACAGGGCCACATGGCTTGAGCCCTGTACAGAAAAGGCGATCACATGTTTCAATGTTGATGGAGAAGAAGAGAAGGGCTGAGGAAGGGGCTTGCTAGGCTTTTTATACCCTGTTTAGTCCCACCTCTCTGTTTCCTGTTCCTGTGTAAGAAATGTATTCTGATTGGTTGTCAGACTCCCATGGTGCCATGCAGGGGGCTACTCTCTAGCTGTGATGAGTGCAGGTATAGATGAGTTCTCAGATGCCATGCGGAGTTGAGTAATATCCCTTCTCCCTACAGCTGCAGTGAGGAGAAGTCTTTATTATGTAAAGTGGGCTAGCCTGGCCATCGTAATGGTCTATTAACAGTGGGGATGGGCAGAAAGCTATAGGCAACTATTCTGTCTTTTAAAACATGTTTCTTTTCACATCCAGAGAAATATTCTGCCTTTTCAATATTTCCTAGGATATTTCATTTTTCTGGGAGAGGGCTGGATGATAACTTCCCACAAATGCAACCAAAAATTGCCTTGCTCCCTAGAAACTACAAGTAAAAGTTTAAACAATCAGCACACCAGCACTTGTAGAAACAAATGATCATCTCCAAGTAAGCAAAATATCCAAAGACAAAGCATAAACACCTCATCTTTTTTTCTCCAGAAGTGACATTCAGGCAGGACCATTTGATGCCTCTTGGAAATTTATAGTAAAGTTCTGAGTGAAGTTAGACAGTCCTCTATGAAATGTTGCAATCATATTTCCTCCTTCCAAAGAGGTAGCTGCACAGAAATGTTGGACATTCTCTATCGCATGTTTTTAATGCTGATTGAGGAATTCTGGGAGTTGAAGTCCAGACATCTACAGATAAACATTGCCCTTAATCAAATAAAAAGGCAGTAAGTGCCTGGTCATCCCTTATTGCAAAAAGAATGTCTCAGAAGAATGTCTCAGATGCATGAGTTCCATAGTTGCAAGTTGGAAAAGAAGTAAATTTGAAGCAGACCTCAGAAGGTAATTTTTTTATTCCTTAGTCATACAATCATATCAAAAACTTTAAAATCAATAGTGAAAGTAGTACTCATAATAATCATTTTTGCAGTGAAAACCTATCTTAGTCTATCCTCTTTGAAATAGCCTTTGATGTAAATATTTGTCTTGCTAGTGATATAGAGGTTCATTCCCTACATGAAGTATAGTTTCACCTGGGTGTCTCAATATTTGTTTAGTTTTTAAATATCTAAGTAAATAGCCCTTTTTGTAGAACATAATTTGCAATTATACAGGTTATGTGGGATGTCTTCAACACCACAGATATACAATCTTTCTTCAAATGGAACTCCACAGAACCTCCCATTATCTCAACGTGGAATCTAGTTGTTTAAAATGTGCTGTAGACAAGATGTTGAGGCATGTAAGTTGTTCGATATTATTTTTCTACTTGGAAGGCTGATTTGTGCTGAGTCACCTACTTCAAGGACTTCATCTTGGACAGCCATATCCGAAATCTATTTGAATCTTTTCTTGGCCATTTAAGTACAAATAGATATATTAAATGTTCTTCAAAATACAACTTGGGTAAGAAGGTTGAAAGTAAATTTAGTGTAGTCTTCTCCAACCTGGTATTATACAGATTAGGTCTGAAACACAACATGCAGGATTCCCAACTATCCTACCTAAATATTACTGTATATTGCTATGTAGAGAATAGTACTGCCATATCAATTGATCTACTTATTTAAAACTTAACATTTTTCTCATTTCATCCCCAAACATAATTCACATTTTGGCTTTCAAATAATGTGTTCAAATGACACAATAATGCAATCATGACCTTACTCAGTTCAACTCATATTCTTGGATTGCATGACACACTGAATCAAACTAACCACATCAGCTAGGTGTGGCTTACACAACACACAAGGCTAAGTTGTGCCTTGCTGTGCTCACATGACACAGCAACATTTCCATTTTTCAAATTAGTACAGCTGCCTATTTCACAGAATAAGTGATTCTGGACAATGTACAACAATGCTAAAATAGATAATACCCAAAACAATCATTACAAAACATTTTTAAAAATTGTAAAAAAATAAATTAAAAAGGAATAGTGGAGGGTGTTAATAAAGGAGGTGGCGCAGTGGTTAAAATGCAGCACTGCAGTCTACTGCTAGATCAGCAGGTCAGCGGTTCAAATCTCACCGGCTCAGGGTTGACTCAGCCTTCCATCCTTCCGAGGTGGGTAAAATGAGGACCCAGATTGTTGGGGGCAATATGCTGACTCTCTGTAAACCGCTTAGAGAGGCCTGAAAGGCCTATGAAGCGGTATATAAGTCTACTGCTATTGCTATTGCTATTGCTATCAGTCTCCTGGGCTGTCCAGTCTGATGGCAACAGTCAGGTCTTGAGAGACTTTCAGAAAGTCAGAACTGATGGGAGATGGTTTCACTTGGGGTGGGGGATGTATATCAGAGCATAAGTGCCACAGCAGAAAAAGTCTTCTAAACCTAACATACTGGAACCAAATCCGGGAGAGGAAGTCCCTCAAATAAATTGGCTCCATGCCACGTAGGACTTTACAAGTCAAAACTATCACCTTGAATTGGAACTGGAAATGATTGGTAACTGTTGTGGCCCAGCAGGAGCCATTGGAGCTGCCGATGGACTCTGATAGCAAGGGACCCTATGAGTCGGCTCTGGAAGATGTGGAGGACCCTGAGCAGGATTCAGATTCCGAGCAGGGAACATAGAGGGTGGTTGGCCACCAGGAGGCGCCTGAGGCATGGAGCAGTGGGGAAGATCAAAGAGAGTTTGTCCCTGACGCCAGGCAAAGAAGGGCGGAGAAACGAAGACAGCAGTTACGGAGACAGCTTCATAAGAGATAATCAAGCCCAGGTGGTTGTGGCTTGGCTCCTCCCAAGAGAGTATATAAGAAGAGACTTTGGGAGGAGACCTTTTGCAGGACACAACCATTCAAACAAGCTGGAGAAGCTCTTGTTTGTTTTGTATCTCTTGTCTGTGGGAGTCTGGGTTGCTGCCAACGCCTTGCTTGTGAGTTGTGTGTGGGCTGTGAATAAAGCGTGGCTAACAATAAGCTTGTGTCGGCGTTACTCACCGGACCGAGGGGGGGGGGGTCAGAACAGGTAACTAATGTATTTTGTAGAGCAGGAATGTAATGTTAATTCTACTAGAAACACACATAACTGCCTGGATACTGCACTTTGCACAGCTGAAGTCTAAGTCTTTAAGGGTAACCCCAAGTGGAGTACATTACATTACAGAAGACTACATTAAAAATACATTACAATATTCATATCAGGAAGTGACTAGGGCACGAGTGACAGTAAGTAGGGATGACTAAGGATTACAAATGCAGAATAAATATATGAAGACAATGCCTGAGAATGTGTTTAGGTATATTTTTGTAAGAAACTGGAGTATTCAAAGCATTTTCTGAATTTAACTCTAAAATGATATAGTGCAATTAATTCTATTTTTTTATTCCATTATTTGAAGTATTAATATAAAAACAGCAATTTTAAGCCATGGAACTTTGTCAAACATGCACACAATAAATTGAATTGTATCACTATTATTTTTTTCCATGAGGATATTGATAGAAATGTAATATATCTGCCTTTTCCAAATACCAGTATGCAAATGATAGGAAAGCTTCATAAACTCCTCCTCAAATCAGTTTCCATTTCTCATGGGCATTTATTTTCTTGGCAACAATATAGATGGTTCGCCGTTGCCTTTTTTCAGTATGTTATTAAGTGTTCAATCTAGTGATACCCTACACTGTTCTTTCATGCAATTATTAACCAACTATTATCCCCTTTAGAGGTTTTCTTAGGACCATCCAAAGAGGAGCAGGTGCTGCCACCTACTGTGACATTAGTTTTTGTATCATCATGTAGTTGTTAAAAGTATAAGCAGCACGCCAGAAAAAAATACCATTTGAAAGGGGATTTAAAAAATGTAGTACCCCCACTAAAACAGCTTTTAATGACATACAAAAGCCACTTTGATCTAGTGGTTAAGGCACCAGGCTAGAAACCAGGAAACTGCAAATGCCTATATTCTCAGTCATCCAGGTCATGGTTGCCCCAAAGGTGCTTTTTCAAGAGGCAAACTGGACTTTCTGGTTTTTCTTTGAAGACGTTTGCTTCTCATACAGTCAGAGCTGACTGTATGCTTCTTCAAAGAAACATCTGCAAAATAAACCCAGAAAAACCAGTTGCCTCTTGAAAAAAAGCACCTTTGGAAACTGCGAGTTCTAGTCCCACTTTAGGCATGAGAGCCACCCCTATTTTTTAACAGGAGTTGAAAGGGACCATATAGATCATCTAGTCCAACCCCCTCAAGCAAGAGATCCTACACCATTTCTGACAAATGGCAGTCCAATCTCTTCTTGAAAGTCTCAAGTGATTTCAGGCAGGTCAATCTCAGCGTTACAGTTATAGCAAAATGAGAGGGAGAAAAGGAGTGCCTTAAGGACGTTAGATGCCTTGAGTTATTTATAACAATAAAGACGGGATGATTAAAAAAAATTAAAAGTGTGAGGAAACCAGTCTACAAGACCTCTGCGTGTTAGAAAAAGCTTCAGTTACACTGAATTTGTTTTCCCCATTGCTATCAAAGAAATGCTTGTCGAAACCATGCCGCTTTCAATTAACGATGCCAGCTTCACCCAAAGTCGGGGGTCCCCAAACTTGGCCACTTTAAGACTTGTGGACTTCAACTCCCAGAATTCTCCAGCCAGCTGGCTGAAGAATTCTGGGAGTTGAAGTCCACAAGTCTCAAAGTGGTCAAGTTTGAAGACCTCTGCCCAAAGCCACCCAATCCTTGAACCCGGAACGCTTCACTCCCGCAGCCCCGAAATGCCCTCTCGGCGCCGGCCACCCCCCCTTTTCTAAGACGTCATTTCGGAAACGGCGATCCTTCCGGCTCTGGCTCCGCCCCTTCCTTTTTTGGATCCCACCTCCCGGTTTCAGCCAGAAGAGCGTAAGGGCTTCGAATGACTTGGAGGGAGGGGGCGCAAATGGGTTACCCGGTAAACCGGAGAAAACGGTGCCTTCCTCCCTCTGTGGGGCTGGGAACCAAGCGGGAACGGCGGATTCGTGGGAACTGTACTGGGAGGCAGATAATTCCCAGTATTATCTCCCGCCCGGCACCTCTTTTAAGATTACCGGTAGTGAAGTGTTTTAACGTTGATGTCAGAATGGCTAATTTATTTTTATATCCCACTTTTATTTTCATAAATAACTCAAAGCGGTAAAATGCCTAATGCTCCCATTAGGGCTTCCTTTTCTCTTTCAAAAAGCACCTTTGGGACAACCATGACCTGGATGACTGAGAATCTATAGACTTTTATGCCTAATGCTCCTTGCTCCTGCACACGTTCTAGAAACCAGTGTTTTTCAAACTTCAGCAACTTCAGGGTGGGTGGTCTTCAACTCCCAGAATTCCCCAGAGGGGGTGTCTTGCACACATTTGCCTTGTGCACCAATGGCACATCTTCCTGGGCCAGCAGTTCGCCTGCTTGTCTTGAATCAGGCCTTAGTCATCTGTTTGGATTACTGTAACATATTGTGCATGGGGCTGCCCTTGAAGTGCACTCAAAAGCTGCAGCTGGTCCACCATGCAGTGGTACAGACAGTTTTTGGTATTCCTTGCAATCCTGCTCCACAAGTTGTTCTGGCTTCCAGTAGGTTTTTTGGGTGCAATTCAAAGTGCTGGTCATTATCTATAATGACCCATAGGGCCAGATTATTTGTGGGATACCTCTCTCCCATTGTTTCTGCCCATCTCACTATCTGTAGTAGAGAGCGTAGGTTCCCAGTCCCTTCTATTACATAATGTATTTATGAACCCTGGCTCCACCTGCCCTGTGGAATAGCATTCTCTGGAGATTCAGATTACTTCAGCCTTGTTAGCCTTTTGCAAGGCATTGAAGACCTGGTTGTTCCCCCAGGTATTTGAATCAAGAAATACAATACTGTTGTTACGGTTGAATGGAGGGTTTTCTTAGGCGTCAAGGAATTGTCTAGCAGGGTTGTTGTTTTAATCTTGTTAAGCTGCTGATGGTCAACTGTGTGAGATGGATAGCTGTTTAAACATATAAATAATCACTCCTAACCTTGAGAAGAAAGTTGAAATATTAGGAAAAATTATATTTTAGCATAAGGTTTTCCAGCTGTGTTGACTTCAACAATGCATGAAAGTTCTTTACTAAAATTATACTTACATTTGTTTTGCAGGATAGCTGAATGATAGCAATCAAGTCATGTCTGCTGTTCATGCAAGATGGATCATAGGGAAAGTAATTGGAACCAAAATGCACCAGACAGCTAAAGTGAGAGTAACAAGGCTGGTACTGGACCCTTACTTAATAAAGGTAAAGATTTCTTCAGAGCCGGGAGTGTAAGCTTGAAGAATCATTTCTCACCATTGCCTAATTTATGGAGTTACTGAGAAAATCATTATTATGAGATCTAGTGAGAAAAGATAATATAAAAATACAATGCTAGGATTATATAAGATGCTGTGTGGCTTAAAAAGTGCCCTTCAACCACTTGATCCCAGGTCCTAATCTTAATGCTAACATGCAGTTAATTCAAGGTAATTTTATCTGGTCTGACAGTATTTTTGTAATGTTTCTATCTACGTATGTTATTTTAAAATTAAAAAGCAAAAAAACCCTGAGTTTTTAAGTTGTTTTTAAAACAAAAACTGATTCTCAGATCTCTAGATACCCAGCAAAAAAACAAATATATTGAATTGGCTACGGGTAACAGTAAAGAACATTAATTCTGTACATATTAAGTTTATACATCTATCATTGAATTGTGGCCCTGAAAATGAGTTCAATTAGTTGTGTCTGTCTGATGTATGTATGTGTATGTATGTATGTATGTATGTATGTATGTATGTATGTATGTATGTATATAATATATACATTTAATATATA